GCTATTTTTATTTTACATTAATGATCTTCCCAACTCCCTGCGGGGCGCCGTACCAAGAATGTTTGCCGATGACACCAACCTTACGTTATCTGCTAAGACGTTAACAGAGCTTAAGCTAGCTCTAACCCCTGAATTAGATAACCTTAGCTGTTGGCTGAAAGCAAACAAGCTCAGTCTAAATGTTGCTAAAACAGAGCTAATGATTATTGGATCAAGACAAAGACTATCTGCCCAATGTGACGATGTAGAAATCAGAATTGATGACCAAATTATCGATCAAGAGAGTCGATCATACCAAATCCTTGGGTCTTACCATAGATGCTCAACTCTCTTGGGGTAAACACGTTGAAGAGATTTGCAAGAAAGTCTCTTCAGCTATAGGCGCCCTAAAACGTGTGCGCCTGTGCGGCCCTTTATATCCAAAGAAACTGCAATTCAAATTTATAACGCTTTAATTAATTATGCCTCATTTTGATTACTGCAGCCCCGTCTGGGACTGTTTGAGTGGATACTTGAGTGATAAGCTCCAAAAATTACAGAATCGTGCAGCCAGAGTTATTACTAAATCACCCTTTGATGCGAGCTCAAACCACCTTCTCTCCACCCTCATCTGGGAGAGGCTATCTCTTCGACGAAAGAAACAAAAAGCCTTAATGATGTATAAAACCATGCATGACCTTCAATGAGGGACAAAAGTGTTGACACACTTCCGTAAAATGGCCCCTTTTTGCATAGTGGATATACTTATCCCCTTCCCCTGTCTACCCCAACCCCTTCCCCCCAAAGTCAATGTTGAATTTTGGACCCTCAAGTCTTTTTTTTACTTCAGACAACGTTGATTCGGGGGGTCGGGGGATTTACGGCGTTTAAAAGGAATGAAATAATAAATGAATTAAATGTTTGTCAAAAGCACCCGTTTTAAACAAGTGTGTCAACTACTTTTGTCCCTGATTGTTGCTCCAGAATATCTACTAAGTCTTTTCTCTCAGCGTCACTCTGCTTACAACTTAAGAAACTCTGAGGGAAGGCTGACCCTGTCCAAACCAAGCACCAATTATTTGAAACGAAGCTTCTCTTACAGCGGGGCCATATTATGGAATAACTTGCCCAAAAACTTAAAAAATGCTGCATCCGTTAAGCATTTTAAGCGAAATATCAAGAAGGTAGCTGATATATCGGATTCCCACACGGCAATCATGTAAAGCAGTTGTAATTAGTTTTAGTTTTTAACTTAAGCTTAACTGATGATTTCCCGTGTTTAAATAAAGATTTACATACATACATACACCCAGAGCATAAAATCCGTTAAAAAATAAAGGCAGAATGACATCTTTTGCAGTCAAACCAGGTCAAGCGTACCCTCCAAGAATCCATTAATGAATTTATTATTCAAAAGTTGAATCCTTTGCTAGTTGTAGATTTCAGATTGATAGTCTGCATTCTTGTATGTGTAATGTATCGGTCAAATCGAAGCTTCAACATGCCCCCCCAGGCAACCCCCCGGGCATTTGACTTTTTTGAAAATTATCGTTCAAATTCCCCCCTACCCGGGCCAAAATGCCGTTCAAATGCCCCACACTAGGGCCCATTTAGGTGATCAAATGCCCCCACCCCGGGGACATTTCACAGGCACAAAAATGACAGAAGGACCGCGGAAACACCTTCAGTTGTCGAACAAAATATTTATAAATATAACAAAAACTGAGAAACACTGTTAGCGTATTTACTACGAACAAAAGTCTCGTGCAAAACGGCGGAAATCGCTGCTACAAGGTCACTGAATGCTCATCTTTTCTTCGTCATGCAACATACAAAGCGTTCTATAAAAAAGATCCCACCTGCTGAGATTACTACATCATGACCATTTCACTGACATGCATCACCGTTCACCTTATTCATTAACATACTTGCAGTAGGTCAAAGTAGATGACCTGAGCTTTTTATTTCATTTTATTTATGTTGTTGCTGATTGAATCGCCGATATAGGTATTGTATTTCATTGTAAACAACAATAAAATACATTCATACATTCAAAGCCTGAATCCAATATTAAAAATTTTAAAATTTAAATACTTCAAATACGGCTCAAAGCTTGTTTAAGCCCTTTCCTCGCAACCAATTGGCCACAAAGGCACAATCTTTTCCACGAAAATCCTCTAACACCGCGTCCCCCATGATAGCTCGCCACGCCAAAGATTTTACATGAAATCGAGGGTGCAGTTCAAATTCCCCACCCCTAAAGCATGGGGATCAAATTCCCCACCCCCTGGAAGACTCTGATAATCAAATTCCCTCCTCCCCGGGACGGCAAAGGTGTCAGATGCCCGGGGTATGCCCGGGGGGGGGCATGTTGAAGCTTCGATTTGACCGATACATAATGAGCCGTGAATTCACGAGTGAAATGATGTGAAGTATATGAAACAATTCATTTTTGAACTGCGGTTGTAGATGAAAGTGAAGAATGATCATCGCAGTAAATTTTCCAATTTAAGCAATTGGAAAGAAGAAGCCTGAAAAGTTCAAAAATGAATTAATTATTTCATATACTTCACATCATTTCACTCCTCACGGGAGATATGAACTCAATAAATTGACCTCGCTCCCAATGTGTGGCTTCATAGCTCACCCTGAGTTGGTAGAGCAACGCACCGGCAACGCGGAGGTCACGGGTTCGAATCCCGTTAAAGCCCTGATTTTTTTCAGGCTTCTTCTTTCCAATTGCTTAAATTGGAAAATTTACTGCGATGATCATTCTTCACTTTCATCTACAACCGCAGTTCAAAAATGGATTATTTCATATACTTCACATCATGAACGGATTAGTTGGATAATATATATAATATAGTTGGATAGTATAGGGTTCTACTACCACGAGAGTTTAGGTTGTTTAAATACACTTTGTTGGTTCATGGGTCGAAATTGTAACTTTAATTCTTCACTCCCACCCCCAATTTTTTTGTCGGCGCTCTGCGAAAACTGAAATCCGAAGAGTCCAAATTTGTCGGCTCTTTAAAGAAAAATCCGAACTCCCCTGTTTGAAACACCGCCATCCTCAGAGGGGGTTGCGGAAAAAAAATGAAATGTCCCCTGATTTTAGTCATGGTCTTAACATTTCGTTCTGAATTCTTCAATTCCCTCGCCGCTGGCCCCCTGTCCGCCCCCGCACAACTTACTCATAAAATGGGGCGGCTGTGTAAACCGTATCGGTTTCTCTGTTTAAGTAGATGGGGGAATAGCCTGCGAACAGCAAACGTATTTCCGGTCGTCGCTTTTCGGAGGGAGACAAGCGACGACCGGGAATACGTCTGCGCTTCGCANCAAAGCCTGAATCCAATATTAAAAATTTTAAAATTTAAATACTTCAAATACGGCTCAAAGCTTGTTTAAGCCCTTTCCTCGCAACCAATTGGCCACAAAGGCACAATCTTTTCCACGAAAATCCTCTAACACCGCGTCCCCCATGATAGCTCGCCACGCCAAAGATTTTACATGAAATCGAGGGTGCAGTTCAAATTCCCCACCCCTAAAGCATGGGGATCAAATTCCCCACCCCCTGGAAGACTCTGATAATCAAATTCCCTCCTCCCCGGGACGGCAAAGGTGTCAGATGCCCGGGGTATGCCCGGGGGGGGGCATGTTGAAGCTTCGATTTGACCGATACATAATGAGCCGTGAATTCACGAGTGAAATGATGTGAAGTAT